ATTACTTCATAATCAAACTGTGAGTAGGCCTTGTCCAAGCCTGTTACCCTGCCATGCGGGAAAGCTATGGTATGTAGGAACATAATTCTGCATGCCTTTGGTCATAATTCAGGCCTCAATGGTCCTGTGATGCTGATATCCCAGGGCAAGATTGCACAAGTTGAAGACATCCTGGTTCCTTGAGAAACTAATAGTAATAAAAACAGAGATTCACTTTGGGAAAAGACAAACTCCTTTTTAACCTGCCACCTCTCTCCACCATCCTCATCAACATATATTCTCAGTAGCATAGTCACTGCCCCTCTCTGAGTCATCTGATAATCTCTCCGATCATCATATACACCCAATAAATAGTGGCTACCTTGGGATGTCAATGTTTTTGCCCACCCTGAGGCATTGTCCTCCCAACCCCACTGTCATGCCTCTGTTTCTCATTTCTTTTTGCCATCCTCCTCATACATGTAGTTGGGGATCTTGCTAAGGTCTCCAATAAAGAAGTCTATTGTAGTTAACAAAAAATAAACCTGTTAACAAATTCTTACAAATTATAGGAAGTATTACAAGTGTAGCTCAGGGATATGGCACTTGTTTAGTTTGCACAAAGCCCTGGGTTTCTCTCCAGCACTACAAAAGCAAGCAGACAGGAGAAATATAAATATAAATATAAAATAAGACTTTACATGATATTTGATGCTTTCAAATGAGATGTTGGCAAGCCTAGTATTAAGGCAAGGAAATAATTTCTTTCTCACAGGAAATCTCAAAAGGGAAGAAATGGATGCCTCAGGAATTTAAATTAGAAATAAAGCAGTAAACAAGGAGGCTTACCTCTATATAACCACCTCCTCTGGAGAAGTTCATGTTTCCTAACTTTCTCTCTCCTCTTGAGGTCAGGCATCCAAATTTGGTCAAAGTCCTTTGGTTAACAATCCCAATTGGCTGGGGGCTGGGGATTTAGCTTAGCGGCATTAGCACCTGCCTTGCAAGCAGGTGGTTGTGAGTTCGATCCCTGGTACTGATAAAAAGTTTAAAAAAAAAAAAAAAAGCAATCCCAATTGGCACCAAGAAAGGGGTGCCTCCAAAAAGTGGCCTACAAGAGGAACCCAAGAGATCATTTTCTTTGCTATTTTCAAGGCACACACAAAATCCCTTCACCTCCCATAGAAAAGCATAGAATCACTGCAGATATACGCTATTTAACCAAACAGAAGGAGGAGATGTGTCCTCTTCCGCCCTTGTAAAATATGGTATGAGAGCCAGCCTTAAGGTTCCATTTTAGAAACTTGCTCATCATAAATTATCAGGAAATGTGCAGAAAAACTTGAGATCTTTTTTCTCTGCCATCTAATGCTGCTTTTAGATCTTTGAACAAGGTCACATACTTGCCATTTCCTACCTAGAGCCATTTGCCTGGATGGTCCCCATTTCCCCAGCACCTGATTATGTATCTATTATGGCAGCTGGGCCTGGCACAGTCTCACAAAGAAGAAACAAAACGTCTTGAGATCCGCTTTCTGGAACATTGCTAGTCCTCAGATTTCTGCCCAAGATGGTATTGTGATATAAAGCAAAACCTGTGTGTTTTTCCTTTCTCTTATTCAGCAACCAATACAGAATATATCTCTGATCTCTGGTGACCAAACATAAGGATTTCTCCTCCACCAGCAATCAATTAATTTGGTAACAAATTCTCCAGCACACGCCAGCTAGGTATCCTCCAACTGATCTGCAATGCTATTTACCTTGGGCCCCACACACTTACCCATGGGGAACCTGAGGTACACTTGTCCTTGGGCATACACAATGGATGAGGTATGTTGTAATCAGGATTTGCAAGGAGAACAATTACATACAGGACACAGAATTATAATATTATGGATAATGTTCACCCAGAGTTAAACACAAGAAAGTTCAGGGAATCTGATCACAATATTAAACACATAGTATTTAGTCCACAATACTAAACACATAGAAAGTTCAGCCAAAGGCCTGGATCCCACAGTAATGTCCTGCATGAGTCCAGCTGAAGACTTAGAGTGCAATACTGCCTCTCACAAGTCCAGCTGGAGGCTTAGAGCCCATGGCAATGACTCATGCAAGTCTGTTTCATGGATGTGCACTGAGAAAGCCCAAAAGTCAGTGTGGGAGCTAGAAAGTCTATGCCAGTGGGGTGAAGTATCTGTGCCAGTAAGCTGACAGTTCTACACTGGAGCCAAGAAGCAGTGCTCAAAATAAGGACCAAGGCTCCCTCAAAAAGTACCACAGCATCTTCAGCAAGAATTAGATCCCAAGCACCTGTGATGATAAGAAAGAACAGCTCAGTACATATCAGGATGCCAGCATGACAGACCTCCTAGGGATTAAACAGCACACATCTTCCCCTCCAAAGCCAAGAGGTGATGCTCAGAGTAAGGACTAGAGCTTCCCCAAAGTGAACCACAGCCACTCTCAGCAACACAGTCCCAAGTTCCTCAGATGATAACAACCGAGTTCTTATCAGGGAAGCCAGCATGACAGGCTTCTCCTGGAGAAAAACAGCACACACTTTCCCCTCTGGAGCCAGGAAGTGATGCTCAACACAAGAACCAGAGCTTCCCCCAAAGTGAACCACAGCCATTGTCAGTAACAAGGTCCTGATCTCCTCCAATAATAGCTGAATTCATATCAGGGAAGCTAGCCATGACAAACTCCTCCAGGAGAACCAACAGCTCCCAAACAACAGCACCACTTAGGAGAACCCACAATGCTATTCTTCCTCTCCAGTCTCCTTTTTATGCTGGCAACAGTCCTCAGGTGGGCCGTCCATCTCAGGCCCATGCCGAATCAGTTCAGCCAGTGTTCCAGTTGATCACCAGTTACCAACCCACTACAAGGAGTGAGGTTCATTTTGAGCCCAGATTCCTGGCAGTACCTCAGGAGTCCTGACAGCAAGAGACTCTCTAAGAAGAGTTGAAGAAAATGAGCAAACTGAGGATTCACAGAGGAAAAAATAATGTGATGATGTGACACACATGACCGCAGAGAGGGAGGAACCACGTGCTGGTTGGAAGTCCTCCCTCTCTACAGCAATCCCTTGCACGGTGAATTGCTCAGGTCTCACCAGGATGCAGGTTTGGAAGTTTCTCCATTTGTGCCCAGTGAGGTACTAGTGTGACCAGAGTTGGGGCAGAAAACTGATTATGGGGCTTCTATGTCCACCCAATAAACAAAACACATAGATCAAAGTAGAGTTAATTACTGGAAATAATAGTTATAAGTGCCAAGGACACGGGTGATGTACAGGGTTAGGGTACTAAGAGAACAGTCACCAGCCTGTGGAGGGAATAGCCAGGACAGCGCCCTATGAACCTCAGGAGACTTCCTGGAAGAAGATAGTATGGTGGTGCAGGCCCATAACCCCAGAATTCCAGGAGACTGAGGCAGGAGGAATGCAAATTCAAACACAGCCTGGGCAATTTAGCAACTTAGGGAGACCCTGTCTCAAAATACAGGGGTTGGCATGTAGTTCAGTGTGAAGGCTCTGAGTTCAGTTCATAGGGGGCGGGGGGGGGTTCAAGGAAAGCAGAGGCCTTTGCAAAGGACCTGAAGAGCAAGCAGTCCTAAGAAAGATAATCTGTCTCAGCCAGATTAGACTCTGAGCCTTCTTACTAGCTACATTCCCTAGCTCTCCAGGTCCTTTATTTTGAGACAGGATTTCATTAGGTTAGCCAGGCTGGACTAGAACTTTCCAATCCTCCTGCCTCAGCCTCCCAGAATGCCAGCTATAGGCCAGAGGCACCACACCCAGCTTGCCTGTATCCACTCCAAACTTCCTAATTAATTTTATTCTCCTTTCCTTCCCATAGGAGCTAGATTGCAAAATATAAAACAATAACAAAACAAATTTTAAAAACCCATGATGGTCTGTTTTTCTTTTTTTCATAGTTGTATTCACGTAACTGAAAACAGCATAGTACTGCTAGGCATTCTTCTTCTACGCACTTTACCTATTTACTCAATATTCCAGCAGGTAACGTGGGTATTAATATTACTCCCAATATCATTTTATAGGTGAGGAAAGAGTTAATACATGTCACAAACAGGAAAATAAATATCGCCTCTTTTATTTTGCATAAATATTAGTGGCTATTGTCATCTTGATCTGTGTCCCTCGTAAGCAAAAAAAAAAAAAAAAAAAAAAAAAAAAAAATTTAAGCAAGGCACGTAGCACACGTCTGTAATCCCAGCACTCCGGAGGATGATGCGGGAGGAAACCGACAGGCAGCCTGAAATCCGAGTTCCACTGCTTCTGCGGAGCACGGGGACCCACAGGCCCGCAGATTTCTCTGTGGGGCGCCAGTCCCAAGAAGCGTAGACTTTCACTCCAGGCCTTTTAAATTCTGACTTGCACACTCTGGCCTAAACAGAGCAGATAGGCCGGACAGCAACGCACAGAAACACTTGTAGATACGTTGTTTACAAGCTGCGATCCAAAATCCTCCCCAATCTAAATCCTTGCGCACGCGGAGTGCCTCTACCAATGTCAAGCCTCTGTGCTTGGAGATCTGTTAGGTTTGGTAATTCACCTGAGCACGTTTTAACAGTTTATTAGAAATGGCTTCGCATCACATTTTTGGAACTGCCCGACGACTCTCAGGTACATTCAAACAGTTCCGCCCACGTCGCGCTCCCAGAGAGCAAAAGGAAGGGCGGTTTTCGCGTTAAGCTACGTAGGGTCGCAAAAGCCGCAAAGCGATCCTTATGGGTATGCGCCGTATAGTTGCCATTTTTCGCCTTTTCATTACTCTAAAATGCCTTTAGGAGACTTTTAAACACTTAATAGTACTAGTTTCAGAGTGCATTTATATAGCGTTGAGAAACATTATGTTCCGTGGCTGGAGAGATCCTAATTTGTGATTTCGGCTCGTCTTTTTTTATTTTATACAGCGCCGCCATCTTGATTAACGAGACTCACGGGGGCCGCCATTTTTTTTGGACTGGCGGGTATTTCCGGTTCCGGTAGGGTCTGCTCTTTCTTTTTCTAGGCGGCGCGGCGACTCGAGCGGTCGCGCTGGGTGTCTCTGTGGACTATCTGTTGCCATCCTCTTCAGTGGCGCGACCCCCGCATCTGCCATCACCATGACTGAGCAGATGACCCTTCGTGGCACCCTCAAGGGTCATAACGGATGGGTAACGCAGATCGCTACCACTCCACAGTTCCCGGACATGATACTGTCTGCCTCTCGAGGTACGGGTTAAGAGTGCAGGGGAGATGGTTGGGCGGCCGGGGCTTGCACGAAACTCGCGGCTGTACCCAGCGCTTTATTAGTGACAGGGACAGTAGACTCCAACGGGGTATGAGTTAGGCGCGCGGGCAGAAACCTAGGTCTCAGCCTGGTCAAGCCGCTTTGCAGATACTCCCGCTGAGACAACGCCTTCTACCAGCAAGGCTGGGTTCTTTTAAAATCTGTTGCCTGAGCTCCCGCAGGCGAGGTTAAGTGTGTCCAGAAGCCTACGGGACGGGCGGAGCGGTGATGACCCCAACATGCCATCTGAATCCTTGTGCTGAAATCAGAGGCTGTTTCTGAGCTGCCGCCCGGCCCTTGTTCAGGGGAAAGGGTATGAATTCCGGAGGCCCGTCCGAGGCCTGCTGAGGCTTCCTGTCGCTTCCATTTGCACACACCCAGACTTTTTTCCGTGTTAAACTTCAGAGAAGATACAGAGTAATGTTGAATTAGGCTGATCCTCAGAAAAAGGTGTTCGTGATCTCTGAAGTCTAGTGGTGGCACACTCCTCTGATCCCAGCATTTGGGAGGCAGAGGTTGGAGGATCACAGCGAGTTCACAGCCAGCCGGGACTACATGGCCAGACCATGTCTTAACAAAGCTATAATAATAAATAATCTGATGGTACAGCTCCAATACATCTGCTTCTGTACTGGAATAGTCATTCAGCCCTAAGTGGTAACTGCTCACATAATTTACAGTTAGCTCCTGGCTTGTGACCTTAATTTTCATTATGTTAATTCATTCATGACCTTAAGGCACTGGGAGTTTCTTACTGGTTTTCCTTGTTTTATTTTACCTCCCTGTTTTAGACAAGACTATCATCATGTGGAAGCTGACCAGGGATGAAACCAATTATGGTATCCCTCAGCGTGCTCTGAGGGGTCACTCCCACTTTGTTAGTGATGTGGTCATCTCCTCAGATGGCCAGTTTGCGCTCTCTGGCTCCTGGGATGGAACCCTGCGCCTCTGGGATCTTACAACGCAAGTAGCTGCTCTGGGGCCTTGGGGGAGAAAGCTGGGCTACAATAAGGTAGATGCCTTTGGGAGATTGGTGTTTTGAGGGAGGAGCTGGTCCTTCTGGGGAAGGACATAGCGGAAGATGCTTTTGGAGAGCAGTTGACAGTTATTTAGCCTTCTTTCTTTGCGACAGAGACTTCAGGGTTGTTCAGGACTAGCCTAGCTGAACATTTTTGCAGCTTAAGCAGTTACGACTTGACAAAAGTTTGAAGATGTTTTATGTTAAAAGCTGTCCTGGGTGGTTGAATATTTGTCGGGTGTAATAGAGGATCCTGGTGATGACAGATGACATTGTCAGCCAATCCCACAAGGGAATGAGGACATGTCCTGCAATTCTGAGTGGATTCTCTGCCATATTCTGAAAGGCTTGCTGTGATACAAGTCACATCCATAGACCTTTGAGTCTTGTAGCCTCCTTGGTCTGGGACAGGCCAGAGTAAGGGTCTCACTGGCAGGAGTTCATAAAAAGTCTGCCTAGAGAGTAACCAAGTTCTCTTCGCTCAGGGGCACCACCACAAGACGATTTGTAGGCCATACCAAGGATGTACTGAGTGTGGCCTTCTCTTCTGACAACCGGCAGATTGTCTCTGGATCCCGAGACAAAACCATAAAGTTATGGAATACACTGGGTGTATGCAAATACACTGTCCAGGTAAAGTGAGAGCATATGTTGAGTGTGCTCACACACCCTTTTAACTTTTTGCCTTGTGTGGCTGTTTTAAATACACCTGGAATCTAACCTGGATCTCTTAAAGTTTGGGTTCTGAAAATAGGAGTGCAGTGGTACTCATCCATCCATCCTGGAGTAGGCGTAGGGAATCTTAACATGCTGGGATGGGACTGTTTCCTTTTCGTTCTCCAGGATGAGAGTCACTCGGAGTGGGTATCTTGCGTCCGTTTCTCGCCTAACAGCAGCAACCCTATCATTGTCTCCTGTGGCTGGGACAAGCTGGTCAAGGTGAGCTTCAAGCTGGGGTTACAGGATCTTTACCAGCCACAGTGTGTTGCCATCACCTCCTGGGTAGCCCTACTTTTCAACTTTACATATTTTGTGGGTTACCTTAGTTTACTTTTCCCTTCTTGGTATGTTTTCAATATGGGTCATTAGGTGGGTGGGTGTCTTTTGTTTTGTTGTTTTTTTCAGATAAAGTTTCAGTATAGTTCAGGCTGGCTTTGCATGTAGTAGTGATCCTCCTGCTTTAGCCTCCTGAGTGCTGGCATTACAGGCACGTGGCACCATTCCTGGCAGGTCATTAATTTTTCATGTTTGGTCTGAAGTAGGTAATTGATGCTTCTTATAAGTCATCCTATAGGTTTTGTTAACCTGCTTTAATCTCAGTTGATGCTGAGTGACAAAGATGTTTAAACTTCTATTATTGATAGAATCATAATTGGCTGTCATATTCTGGAATGCTTTAAGTCATATCTTTTTTTTGTTGGACTTGGACCGTCCTCATCCTGGCCAGTCCAGAGTTAAGATTGTTAAAACTGTGAATGCCTGTCTTTATAGGTATGGAATTTGGCAAACTGCAAGCTGAAGACCAACCATATTGGCCATACTGGGTATCTGAACACTGTGACCGTCTCTCCCGATGGATCCCTGTGTGCTTCTGGAGGCAAGGTATTTGGGGACTAGGCGTCCTTTGCCTAAATGGAATTGTATTACAGAATTCTGTAGATTGTATCTTTGGTATGAAATGATACTTAAAAATTGGCCAAGTTTTCCAAAACTCTTTTTGTAGGTGGTTTTCTGAAGATACATAGATGAGGCATACAGTTTAAAAAGCTGTTTTCTTTGTGGTTCTCTTGAAGCAAATAGGTAAACCTATGTTTGCAGAACTTTTAGTTATTTATGAGTTGTTCGAGGCTCTTAATACAGGTAGTAAGGTATAATGTGTTAAAGAAAAAGTTGAGAGAAATACTGGTGCTCACGTCATTAGATATTACGAAGGCAGAGTACTGTGGGAAATGCAAGAATCAATTTTTATATGCTGTGCAGATGAGTGGGATCAACATTTAGAAAAGGTTACATGGCAGTAACTCGTCTTTTCCTTTATTCAGGATGGCCAGGCTATGCTGTGGGATCTCAATGAAGGCAAGCATCTTTATACATTAGATGGAGGAGACATCATCAATGCCCTGTGCTTCAGCCCTAACCGCTATTGGCTCTGTGCTGCCACTGGCCCCAGCATCAAGATCTGGGTGAGTGAACTGCATTACAGATTTACTACCTGGCTATGTTCTAACCACCACCACCCCTCCCACAGCAACATTGCCGTTGGACTGGGAGTCAAGTTTCCTGACCCATGAACTGTTTTTCTAATGTTAGAATTTTTGCACCAGTACAAGATACTCCCTATTAAAATGGATGGCCACATATAATCACTTACTCAGCCTAGGTGTAACTACCCTTTTGGTCTAGCTAGTTTTTTGTCAGGAGTACTCCTCATTTGCATTTCAGCATATTGAACAACATTCCTGCCAGCTACCAGCTTGATTTTTCTAGGCATTGCCACATACTCTGGGGAGCAAAAGAGAAATCAGTACTGTGTTAAGGCTGTTCTTATCCTGGTTTTGACCTGCTTCCAGGACTTGGAGGGCAAGATAATCGTGGATGAACTGAAGCAAGAAGTTATAAGTACCAGCAGCAAGGCAGAGCCCCCTCAGTGCACCTCTCTAGCCTGGTCTGCTGATGGCCAGGTAAGTTGACCTGTCGTCAGGTAACTGCTTGTAACTGGTGTTACCTTTTTTTCTGCTGCTGTCTAATCAGACACTAGTGTCTTGATGTAACAATGACAGAAAGTTAGCCATGTTGATAAACTGTGTCACTGAATGCTGAGAATATATTCTGCATCAGAGGACAGTTAGTGATCTAGAGGGTAGGATAGTGGTGGTAGATACTTTTGATGTCTTGATTCCTTATCGCCAGCTTGTTCTTCTAGGCGAATATAATCAGCTCCTGCAGTGTGGTGGTGAAGGGAGGGGACTCTTAAGAAAAGGCCATCTTGGGACTATAGAGTCCACTGGCTGAGCCTGATCTGTCATTGTTTCTCCTTTACAGACTCTGTTTGCTGGCTACACAGATAACCTGGTGCGAGTGTGGCAGGTGACTATTGGCACCCGCTAGAAACGTGTCAGCTTTAAAAAAATAAAGAACTGGCTTTATAGTTCTGACTTTTACAGTATTTTTCTTACCACCAGCATTGATACATACTTGTAATCCAAGAAGCTGAGGCAGAAGGATCATTTGAGCCTAACCAGGGCCAGGTACAAAGACCCTGCTTCAAAAAACAATAAAAGATACTTTTCTCTGCTAGAACAAAGCATCTTACATATGCTGTTCACAGGTTAAGATGTTGATCAGGGGCTTTGTGGGGAAAGAGATGTCAATCTGGTTCCCATAGGGTTGGGCTAGCATCAGAGGTGACATGGGAGGTCATGTGAGTTAGTTTGCCATACATTCATTTCACCACAGTGCCTACATTCTAGGTCGTATTTGTGACCCTGCTGTAATCTTAGAGAAACTTTGAGTGTAAAGGACTATTTCAAGGTTTTCATATTGAATTTAGGAACAGGAGATTGCCCAAGTGCGACTCTTTTAACACAAAGCAAATTAAATAGATGAAGGTACCCATTCTTTGAAAGGTGTACATTCAGGAAGCCTGAAGTTTCAGGTTACCATAATCATCAGTTTGGCATTAAAGACAGGTTGTTTTGTGTTTGTTTTCTTTGTTAGCCAAAGCATTTTTATGAAACATACAATTCATAAATACATTGGTTTTACTCAAGCCCCCAGCCCCAGGTTATGGTGCTAGATAGTCTGGTCAAAAGAAATTCAGAACTATCATTACTTTAATCTTGATACAGGTTATATAGTAGTAAATCAAATTTAAGACCTCCTAGCAGTATCTTGTGGTTTTAATGGCCATTCCAGTTCCTTTGATTGCTGCTGACCAAATGAATGACCACATACTTTGAGAGGATTTGTTCAAAGTTAGCTCGGGAATTAGGGTGTCATTTGCCTCAAGTCACCTTTTCATTGTGTAAAGGTGGGCAAAGGTCTTTTAATAGGGAAAGAGTGGGAACAGTTTACGGTTGGATTTTACAGGGCATAGTCCTGAAGAGCTCTTAAAAGTGGTGGTCAAACAACTGCAGCATATTAAAGATCCATATGCACCCTTCATTTCTTATTCCCTCAGCTTATAATAGTAAGGAGAACTGGGTCTTCGGACTCAGCTGGGTGCCATTACACTGGAACTGTATATTGAGGTCCTGGTTTTGTCTTTGTAGAGATTTTTGCAGAAACTTAAGTAATGCCTGTGATCTCAAAATACACTATCATGTGGCATTAAATCAGATAGGGCATTGGGGAGGGCAGTTAAAGCCCAATCCTTGAGAAAGGATCCTCCCTAGTAGGAACATCCTACAGGTGTAACTGTTAAATAATCACTTAAGATCAGATTGAATTCAGAAGGGATGACCTTCACAAAAGCAAATAAACATTTTATTTCTGCAACACAATTCACCTTCCCTTTCCCCAAGAACATACAAATTGACCTCAGCCATGAACAAAAATGACACAAGGAGTTACTAGAAAAATATATTCTGCCCAAGTTTCTCATTCCTGGCACCCAAACCCCTGTCCACCTCCCCTCGTCGTTTGCCAAATGCAATTCAAAGGTTGGGGAGAGGCTGGAAACTTCAGAGCAACTCCAGTGGACAAGCTGGAAAGGGCCCTGGCAATGAAAAGTTCTGGAGGGGTACAGTTGGGAGTTTGCTCATTAGGTTAAGTGCTGGGAAAATAATTTATTGGTGGATATAATGGTATGTACTGTGTTTACCATGTTGATGATCTCAGATCTCACTGAGGCTAAATCTTGGCCAGTCTAAGGAGGTAGAAGTTGGGGACAGAAGGAAAGTTTAGACTCCCTCCTATTTTCCCCAGGAGAGCAAACCTTAACCTAGCTTGACCCTTTTGTCCACCATGCCTCCCCTAAAAGCTTCCAAATCCCCTATCTAAACTTTGCACCAGAAAACAATAGGATGGGGATGTTCTGAGTCTTGCCCAAGACCTCCAGCCTCAGAACTGACATAAATGGTTAAACAGTAGGGATTAAGGGAAAGAAGGAAGTTACAATCTTCCCTACTCAAAATCCCAAGGGCTGGACTAGGCTAGCAGACAGGGAGGGAAGACCAAGCAGCTGTTCTCATTATCAGACCCATGCAGACCTGTTGGACAGACACAGTAGGTGAGAGAAGGCAGAGCTGGAGGCCAGGAGGGTTCTTAGGCTCCTAGAGGGAAAAGCAGGGACCTGGGATGAAAGGAAAGCAGGAAACAATGCAGTAGTGGGCCACCATCCACTACCACCCGCCCCACTGTGCTGACCAGAGGGGCCCCTGCGGGTGGCAGGCTAATCAAGGGCAAAGCTTGATGCGGGTTCCCTTGGAGAGCACCCGGAAAAAGGGGAAGACACGCTCGCCCAGGAAGGCAGCTGAGAAGGTGTGCACGTGGGCCAGAGTCTCCGCGTTGTAGAAGCCCAGGCGCCCGGCCTCATAGTCCAGGTACACTCCAAAGCGCCGAGGCTTCTCACTGGGGCTCAGCAGCGTCTGCTCTGTCGAGCTCTGTGCCTGGTAGCGTTTGCCATTGGTGCCCACACACCACACTTCCCGCTGGAGGAGAGGCTGTTGGGGCAGGTGGAGCCGGCGGCGGCGATGGTGATGCCGTGAGGAGCTGGAATCCCCACTGCCCGCAGAGGAACCCCCGGAGCCCACCTTTTCTTTATGGTGGGTCGACTCACGGGCAGCACCCACCGCCCAGCCCCGCCGCCCGCCCACCTCTACCTCCCAGTAGTGCCGGCCAGAGCGGAAGCCCTGGGCCCCAAGTACGCAGCAGTCAGCCGAGAAGCGCTTGGGATGGTCAGCAACCTCCTGCCGCCGTTCTGCCAAGCGGACACCCCGGCGGTCAGGGGACAGCATCAGGGCAGGGTGAGCCGTGTCAGGGTCCAGCGTCAGGTCCACTTGGGAGGAGGGAGGACAAATACGCCAGGGCTGGAACGACTGTTCCCGATCAGCAGCTGACTCCACAGGTTGGGCTTTTCCTGCTGTGCTTCCTTTCCCTCCTATCCTGTCCAACCATCCCCTCCAGCTGACCCCAGCTCCCCCACCACCACAAGAGGCCAGGCTCAAGTTTTTTTGGGCACCACCCTTTTCCCTATTCTGGTTCCCAGGATACCTGACAGGCTTTACCCTGTCCCTGGCTCTCGCCACCTCGCCCCAAACCTACCTGGGCCAGGACAGATGCTACTCTTTTTGACTTGAAACCCCAAAGTGGTCTACTTATAACCTGCTGCCTGTCAGCCCCCCACACTTCCACAGAGCCCGTCTTCCTCAGAACCCAAACTCAGGTCTGAAAGGAAAGGCAAAGGAAGGTCGTACAGGTGACCTCCCTACCTCTCGCAGCCTGACAGAACATCCGGCTCATTTTCCTCACGATGGCGTCTGTCAGGAAGTCATGGCTATGGGGTTGGCACGGGTCAGGGGACCAGATCTCTGGGGGCTGCAGCTGTACCTCTTCACACCTGGAGGAAGGGGACCGGGCAGGGGGTGGGACCATGGTAATCCCAGAGGGAAGAGCAGAAGCTGAGGGGAAGGACAGGAGGGTCCAGGAAGCAGAATTTCAGGTCCTAGGGAAGGAAGGAGAGGAGAGGGATACCCAAGAGAGGCAGGGATGGGGAACCAGATACTACTGGGTCACAAAGGGTAATGTGGGAACACACCTATTGAAAGTCTCCTTGATGTCCTGGGAATAATAAAAAGGAGAAGGAGAAAGAGATAAAGAGAGTGTCAGCTATACAGGGACAACTGTTTTCTCCCAATCTCCAGCCAGAGAAAGGTCTGAACTTGACCAGGAAAGGAGAGCAGAGCTCTCAACAAACTTGCATCCCCCTCATCCACCCCCATGGCTCGCCATACCTAACTTATCTCATCCTGCTATAAATAAGCTCAGTAAAAAGAATTTTTCCTGACATGACTTGGTCATGTCTTTCAGATGTCACTGTGAAAAATTATTCTCTTTTTGACTTTTTTTTTTCTTTTTGGTACCAGAGATTGAACTCACAACCTTGCACTTGCCAGGCAGGCACATACAACACTGAGCTAAATCCCCAGCCTTCCTTCCTAAATTTAATCTTGCTTCTTTTCATTGTGTGTAACTCTCACACCACATTCAACACTGTCTCCAGCTTCAAAAAACATTTTTGGTCAACTCACTGGATTTTCAGTTAAGTCACTGGCTACTTCCCAGTGAAGAGGCAGCTCTGAGTACGAGTACAGTGAGCACTGCCTGACAAGGGCAAACGTAGCTAGGGGAGTGAGGGGGTGGGACAGAGAGGAGGACTGCTTACCTGGAGTAGCCGAAGGCCTCCCTGCTGGCTCCTCTCCTGGGCCTCAGCCAGCAGGCGGCTCAGCTGGGCAGCTTGCTCCGCGAGGCGGCTGGCCACTGCTCCAGCATGCCCCAACTGAGCTTCATGCATCTCTCGGAGGCGCCGCTCCAGCCCTGCCTGCTCTTCAGCCAGAAACCGTGTTAGCCGCCCAAACTCTGAGGCCACAGCTGCCAGCTCTGACTTCATCTGGCTCTGGAATGATGCAAAGGGTATGCAGATACCACCTAAACATGTGAGAAGGTAAACCTCCAATTTTCTAACTGCTGCCTCTCAATTCAAGCAAAAGGAGCCCTATACTGCAGATCTTCCTCACCTCTAGACCTTTCCACATATCACTCCCACATTTCTGGCACACTGGTCCTAAACTCAGCAGTTTGATACTAATCTCCACCTAATTTGCCTCACTGTTTGGGTTCAAGTTTACACGTTCTAAAAGAAACCTTTTCCCTGAAGATCTAAGTCAGTGCTACCTCCATAAATATCACTGGTTTCCCTCCATGGCACATACAGTATTGTATACTGCTAAAGAAGTATTTTTTAAAATTCTCCCTTACTGTACCTTAAGAACTCTAGTATAGTGCCAAGTATGCCACAAAAGCTAAAACTTAGTCTCATCAAAAAAAAAAAAAGTCTCACTAGGTAGTGTAGGCTAATCTTAAACTTGCCTGTATAGACCAGGCTGGACTGAAACTCGTGCCAATTCTCCTGCCTCAGCCTCCCAAGTG